GTGATTGACATGAGAAATTTGTATATTTACTCTGGCCTTCAGATGCCCCCCGCTCCTCAGAAATACTTTGCAACTCAACTATGTTAGATTAGGTGAAAGTTAGGAAAACTGAACCGCGAAAAGGGAGTGGGCCACTGACAGTGAGTGTCGGTATGTTCAGTCTATCTGAATGGCAGTGCTAAATGTCTTGCAGACACACAACCCTATTTATCACAGTGTGGATGTTCATCCCTGTCTGATTTCTGAATTGAACTTTCTGGCTGACTCCCACAATCCACATCCCTGGAATTAATTCCTGCTTCTTCCTCTACCCTAGTACTCGTGCACTGCACTGCGTAAACACTGTGGTCTTCCCCTACTGAATGAACTTATCTGACCCTGTCAAAATTTAAATAGAGCTCGCTGAAATATTCTTATTTTAGGACGAAGTACGGACTATCTATTTTGGCCTAAAATCCACGCAACCGCTTGCCCTAATGAAGTGTAGTGTGAAGTCACGGAGTATTAGTCTTACTAATTTTTGCCTATTATTTTTCTTGAAACTAGTATCCTTTGGGTGAAGAATGGTCGATGACAGAAGACTATTAATCAGCATCTCTGTTGAGATCATCTATAAATTTACCCAAGTTGGTATCCGTGAGATAAAGATACACTCCTGCAGGGGGTGGCACTGGTGAACACATTCCTTCTAGATTATCTGTTTACCCTTGCCAGTGACTTAATTGCCCGGGTGGATTATGAAAACATCTGTTAAGCTGCAGTTCAACGTCCCTGTAAACAGCGCATACGCGCCAACGGATCCCATGCCAGAATTCTCGATCGCGTGCATTTACGACACCATAATATGTGCGATTCTCTGCAGGAAAACAGTTAACAGCTGGCATTGCTTGAAGTCCTTGTTTCAGGTAGCAAAGGGCAGATGACGAAAATTCACTCGATTTACCGCAGTTACTAGATCAACATAAACCAGTCACAGTTCTACAATTAAAGGCAGATTTTCAAGCCACAAATATAACTTCCACCAAATACGCAAATTGCTGGAAAAATTGGTCTGAGAACAATAAATGCGTTAGCTAGCTGAATGAAATGTAAGAATAAAAAAGGAAGGAACGTGAACATTCCGGCTGACCGCCATTCTGCCGTTCTTGCAGGAAATTTGATTTTGTACAAAATGCTGAATGTCAAACTGTAGGCCTTCTTTCCTCCGTCCTTTTCAGGCGGTCTTACTGTATACCTGGTGCCAGGAGAAGACTTAAGTAAGACAAGTTCTGAGCTAGAGGTTAGTATACTCAGATTTTAAAGTTGCAGAAATTTCCATTAGAGAATCCAGAAGAGTATTTGGCGAACATACCTAGGCTTTCGATAAATTCATTACATTTATATGGGAAGGGGGTTAAATGTACAAGGTAAACATGCGGGCAATTACGTTCATCATTAGAAGCTAATTAGTCATGGAAATAGGAGGAGAGGGGTTGGGGCGTTAACAATATGCGGCTGGTTACGCGGCAATGAGGGTTTGCTGAATCCGGAGCCGCAACTTGAGAATTGGCACCATTTCGCCGCACTTATGCCGCGTGTTCGGCAATTCATGTCTTGAGAAGCCTGCCAGTTTCTCCGACATAGTTGCCTTGCCCGCAACTGCACTGGATCCTGTAGACGATTCCAGATATTTCTTGCCGTTGCAGTAAGTCTTTCGTTTTCATTACTTGACGCCTTATGGTTGCTTCCGGCCTGTGTGCGACTCCAACTTTAAGTGGTGCGAGAAGGCGGCCGAAACTCAAATTTTGTGTATTGAGCACGGATATAATAAGTACAAGGCAGGTATCAAGACTAAAGCAGTCAGGACCAACAGGAAGAACCACCACATTATAAGGCAGGATATATAAGGTACCCCAGTCCAGACAGCAATTGCATTCATCATTGCAGGGAAATTAGCCATGGGAATAGGGGAGAAGGTGGAAGGGGGCTTATAATATGTGGCTGGTTACGAGACCATGCGGGTTTGTTTAAGCCGGACAGGGGGGACGGTGGAAGGGACAGAGAAAGCGCGGAAAAATACATGCCATTATGTGAGCGTTGGACATGTCAAGCTCGGAGCTTATAAATTTCCTTGAAGGTTACAATGTGGTCCATACAATGTCCGGAGTCAACGATGTTGGCAGGACTGGCGCTGCTGATGCTCCTCACTTCACCTTTGCTCAGCCATGCAGGGAAGTGCATCCGTATTCTTTCGGATAAGCGCCGACTCGTGGGACCAATATAAAGCCTACGTATGCCCGCCAACTTTTCTTCTGAGTACTTCGACTTGCAAAGGTGAAGTTGAGAAATAAGAAGGACTCTCTGAAACAGGTTTATTGAAATGCGGACGCTTCGAAGAGCTTGGTTGATTCACCATTGTCAAAACGTTAAATGCAGTTTGTCTGCTCAGATAATTGCTCTTGCTTGCGATGGACAGGCTAGTATCCCTTCTGAGAAATAAAATGGGCTAACCGGAACAGAT